CCCCCCCCCTCCACTTTCTCCCTCTCTAAACTTTTTCAAGACAGCAGATTTTGAGGAGTGATTGTATGCTTCGCATACCATAATTAAGTCCCAAGTTTCACTTTCTTCCTCTTCGAAAACTGTTCATAATTAGTGGGGAAGGTTCCATCTGAAGTCTATTTAGTATTTTATCTATGTAATCTCTCAGAGGAAAAATTCGTATTGCCAGAATGTTGTCTCCATTGTGCTCACTTGTGATGTCGTTTTGTCCAACTGATACCAGTTTATTACCAAGCATAAATCAGACTATTTCTACAAGAGAATGCACAGCTTTTAGATTTTATTTCATGTTTTTGAATGATACTGTTCAAATAAACACGGGATGGCTCCCAGATTCTGGTTATGTGATTATCTTTGACTTGTTAAATGACAATTGTACAGTTATCCTTTTTTCTGTTCGTGATTATGTCGCAACGATATACTAATATTGTTTTTTTCAGACATGATGACACTAAGCTGGGTTCAATCAATGTCTACCAATTGTCATTAACCCCCCTCTCCACCTCCCCCCTAGCCTATATGCCTCATTTTCAATCCCTCCTACCCACATTTACAATTGAGAACCTTTTGCAATGATAAAATCAAAAACAAATAGACATTATGCTTGTTTAAATTGATTTTGTGCTACTTTAAGCACCTTCACAAAAAGTGGAGAGAGGGAATAGAAGAGTGATTCACAGATGTAAAAGAGAGGGACACAGAAAAGGGAAAAAGGTAAGGTGAGTATTGTGAGAGCGGTGGAATATGACATACAGTGGGGTCATGGTAGTTTGAAGTCAGAAGTCAACTGTCGGTTAACAGACTTTTTTGGCGTATGAGTATGCGTTGCCCAGGGTGCACCACGTGGAGGTAAGTCTATTGCACACCCCCAGTGGTGTGCCGAAGAAAAATGTTGAAAAAAACCTGCAAAGTGCAATAAAAGAGCAATCCGAATGAATGTGCTGTGTTGCTATAGAAATCCACAGATTTGGTGAGCTGAAAACAATTATTATCGTCTCGAGCCATCTCACTTTCTTGCTCTCATCTTTTAATATTATTAGTTGAAATGCTAATTTCACTTAAAGCATGGACACAAGTTTTTTGGCCTAATGTTATGTACCCACCAGTCTTATTCAAACACGTATTTTCCCTCCTCCGCTATCTTAAATCTATCCGACACATCCATAAAGATAAAGGTAAAGAAGTGATAATGTACAATTCTTGACTGTTATCGAGCCTTTATTCATAAAACAATCAATAGGTTGGCAAAATTTCAAGTAATCCAAACTAAGGCGGATGTGTGTGTGTGTATTCATCGAATCAGATAGAAGTGTATTTGATGTATCCATGACTGCTAAATTTATTATTTTTAGCAAATAGATCACAGCAATGGAAACGACAATATACTCTACAGCAAACTGGTGAAGGCACAGTCAAATCGAGATGAGTACTTCTCATTTATTACCAAAAGTGTTACAACTTTCCCTGGAAATCACACTCTAGTCGCCTTTACAAACAACGCTCAATATAAAAACGCAACTCATCCAATTATCATGCCCGATATGAGTAAATTATTTTTCTTAAGTGTATATTAATCTTCCTTGGAGAATTATTAAATGCACATTCTTACCTACTTGAAGGATTTTCGGTACCTTCTACACCTAAAATTGACTGTTATGACTCGCACATCACTGTTCGTTGGTACAAGCCGAAACGCTTCGGTGATTTTTGCCACTATATCGTTGAGGCCATTTCTAGCAAGCACAATGCGTCTCAAGAAACACAACCGATCACTCGTCCCAGGGATTATGCTTCTATTAGCGTAAATTTTAATGGTCTCTTGAATGGAATTACTTATGAATTCTACATTACAACTCAATGCAATAGTTCCAGAGTAGAGCGCATTAAAGTCGGAGAGAAAGAAACTAACCCTGGATATCCAGGGACTCCACAGAATCCTCAACTTATACTCTTGGATCCGAAGACGGTTAACTTTACCTGGAATCCACCAGTAGTATTTCGTGGGAGCAAACGAACATATTCTTATGAGTGCAACATTATTGGGGAAAGAGCAGAATATGATGGCGAAGTGACGGAGTGCTATGTGTTACTTAAAAACGTTCTTCATGGAAATATTTCTTGCAAAGTGCAAGCAGTGTCTAAAACATTGGATTATAGTAAAATGCGTGGACTTTTTACGAAAAAAGTCATCTTGGAAATACCAAGTCCAGGTGAGCTTTTTTTAATCCTCCTCCCTCACATTGCATAACTCCCACACACATATGTGCGGAATCGAGTAGCTGGAAAGCGCTCAAATGCTAGAAAGTATAAATAGTTCAATTACTGGAAGAAGGAGAGGGATTGAGACGAGGTTGAGAATATATTCAGTGTCAAATGGGTCGGTGTAATTAGTGTTGAAAACAGAATTGATTACCTTTGGTGAAAATGAATGAACAGTGTATGCCTCATCTCTGCATCAATTGAAAGATAAACATTAGAAAGTGTAGGAACACCATTAAATCAATTGTCAATGCAATTGTTCACAATCAATTATTCACCGCGTAATTATGGTTTTTATATGAACAGAATTATTTCCAAATTTTGAAATAAATGCGTCGTGCTTCCAGTAACCTTCTCATTTACATCTTTGTTAAAATGGCTTAATATTTAAAGGGGAAAATGTCCAGTTTTTCATTAAAAATTTTAGTTTACTTCACCACCAAATCTAGCTCGGCTACATTCAGACTGGGGAAGTAAATGTGATAAAGTGTTGGGTGGGTTAAGTTGTTAAATTTTCTGTAACTCAGAGTAACTACCGCCGCACTTCCCAAATATTAACCACTGATTGGCTATGAGGCCTCAATAAGGTTCGCGCTCGTTACAAACGCGATTTGTAGCACGTGTGCATTTTCCAGTTTGCTCAAGCCAATGGAAGACCCCTTCTAGCACAGATTTAACAATTTTGTGTATTTCACATATTAAAATGTAAAGCCAACTGATATTGTAGATGAGGATATTTGTTAAAAGTAATCCTTTGGTCTTTTAAAATGGCCTGTGAGGTTACTTTCGCTGCTCTCATTAATTTTTGCAAAGGGAACGCTTTAGTTGATAGGCAGCTAAATTAAAGTCGGGTTAGATACCAATGAATTCTTAAAAATTGTTTTACATATTGAATACTGATACTATTTTTCTTTACTTCTATTTCCAAAACAGATACCCCAATTCCACAACCAATTCAATTAAAGGGAATCGATGAAACAACTCTTGAATTGAATCTAATGAAAGAATACAGAGAAAATGTTATTGGACATGCTGTATCGATTGACTCTGATCTCAAGATAAGTTTCTTAACTGGTGGGGAAATCGTAGTTAATAAAACAGGTATTTAATGATGATCACTTTGTGGGCATTTTTTCTACTAAACTTAAATTAAAAACTGCCCATTTACCTAGGTGATTCAAAAATTGATGTTAAAAAGGCTGGGAACTCCAGTTTTATTCTGTATAATTTGACTCCGCATCAGGAATACAAAGTCAATGTTACAACGTTCTTTGCTAGCCACTCTGTCTCCAAGATTTACACCGTGAAGCCTGTCCCGAAAGGTTAGTAGCAGTACCACTAATATTTATTTATTTCAAATAACAGGCGTTTTGATAGTTATCATTAGCCATTTAGCTGACTTCGGGCTTCAGAGAGAGCAGGAGGAACATCAAAGTGACAAGAGGTCGAGAGGGGGGACAGAATAATGATTCACAGATGTAACAGAAACAGACAGACATACAAAAAAGCATAGAAAGGGTAAGATGAGTACTGTGAAAGGGGTCGAATATGGCATACAGTGGATTGATGGTAGTTTGAAGTCAGTAGTCAACTACCGGTTAATAGATTTTTTTGCCTTGTGAGTATACGTTGCCCAGGGAGCACCACGTGGAAGTAAGTCTATCACACCCCATACCACTAATATACATTAACATGAGTCCTTTTGGCTTGGCACTTGAAGTCGAATTCACTAAACCATCTCAGAATCGACAGCAAATACTCCTCCTGTTAAATAATTCAGTTGCTTTTGTTTCCATCGTAGGTTTGCCTACAACACCAACAACAGAAGCAGCAACAACTGCTTTTCAACGAAATACTACAACACCACAACCAAGCACTGAGGGAATTGAGCAGACAAGTAAACAAAGTCAGTTTCGTATTAATTTAAATAAATGGAGTTGTTACAAAGCTGTTTTCCCTACGTGACAGATAAGCTGAAAAAACATCCATTACGGTTCCCTATGTGCTTGAATATTTCAGAAGTCAAGCTGTCGAATTCAAATGTTCATGCTCAATTAGATTTCAAAATCCATTGAAAAGGATGTAGTAAAAATGAAGCTGAGAAATAGAAAGGTACCTTGAAGATGATCAGATAATAAATTTGCAATATAACGTCCCCCCCC